CATAAAGAGATACAGTCCGGTCAACATCTCCTCTATTAGGAAATTCAGTCTCAATGAATGTGGCATCTCTTGATTCCATTTCAGTCACTGTTCCATCTTCGTTTTCACCTATGAAAACGTATCCTTTAGATTGTTCAGAGTACCTTATAAAAATACACTTCTTTCCTCTAGGACCCAATTTCCCATGCTTGTGGGAATCATCATGAACATATGCTGCTGACCCCCAGGGTCTTAGGACACTTAGATCCGGTTTGCGTTTTGTCCATAATTCATAGGGTGTGAAGCGACTGATTTTGAGGGCACACGGTTAAGTATGAAGGTTGCCGTTAACAAAGCATCCCCAATATGAAATTGGTAGGTTTGCTTGAGCCATCATAGACCTAACCATGTCTAGAAGAGTTCTATTCCTCCTCTCAGCCACTCCATTCTGTTGTGGAGTGCCAGGGATAGTCAGTTGTCTAATTATCCCTTTTTCCTCACAGAGCTGTTTAAATTGATCAGATAAATATTCACGACCTCGATCAGTACGTAATGCTTTAATTTTACTGTCCATTTGATTCTCTACCTCATTTATGTATCGTCTAAAGCATTCAAGAGCTTCAGACTTATGCGAGATCAAATAGACATGACCATATCGTGAAAAATCGTCAATGAAGGTAATAAAATACCAAGCTCCGTGTCTCGCCCTCACACTCATCGGACCACAGATATCAGAATGGATTAATTGCAATGGATTTTCAGCTCTTGTTCCCTTACCGAAAGGTTTTCTAGTTGCCTTACCAGCTAGACAATTTTCACATAAGGACATTTCCATGTTAGGGATTGCGCCCAACATTCCTTCTTTTGCCAGTTTAATCATTCCATTTTGATTAATATGTCCTAGTCTAGCATGCCAGATATTCATATCAGGATTGCTTGAAGAAATAGCAAAACAATCATGAGCATTAAAACCAAAGCAAGATCCATAACAAAAAATTTCTGGAATCTGAATGCTGAACCATAAAATTCAGAGTTGAAGGAAATGTCTGCAACTTTATCATGAAAATAAACATTAAACCCAAAGTCTACTAAGCAAATAACAGAAATTAAATTCCGTCGGATGTCGGGAGCATGAAGCACATCATGGAGTATCAAGGTCTTTCCACCACGCAAAGCAAGCTTGCAGGTGCCAATGCCTCGAACCTCGATTCTCGCATTGTTCCCAACATAAAGCCACTTGCTTTGATACGGCAACCGACGGTATTCCACGAAGGATCCCCGATCCCTGCTTACGTGGTCTGTGGAGCCTGAGTCTATAATCCAAGAAGAAGAAACAGGTTCTGTTAGAAAAACAGTACTAGAAACATATGAAACATGTGAATTCACATAATTCACTAATACCTTTTTGCTTTCAGCCTGTTTGGAACAGTCACGTGCGAAATGGCCCATTTGTTGGTAGGCGAAGCATTTGACCTTCTTCAGGTTTAGCTTCTTCTTCCCGCCTTTCTTTCCCTTCTTCTTAAATTGTTTCTTGCCCTTTTTAAATTGAGGACCGCCCTTCTTTCTTTTCTTTTGGGGCTTCTTGCCCTTTTTGAAATTGGGCTTAGATTGGGAAGTACCAGCATCCTCAGTTAAATAAGTCTGTCCAGAGCTCTTGTAAGCCTCTAGACGTTCATCTTCCAGCTCCAGATGCTTAGCTACATCATTAAAAGTGATGATGTTTTCATTGTGGGTTAGGTTGACTTTCATGTGCTCCCAACTTGCAGGGAGTGACTTGATGACAGCCTGCACTTGCTGCTCATCAGACAGATTATGTCCAGCTTCCTTCAGTTCCCGGATCATATTGGCCATCTCTCTCAGATGTTGCTTCATAGGATTGTTTGGCTTGAGCTTATAGGTATCAAACTTAATCATCAACCTTCTAAGCTTGGTCGTAGAGACTCCGCCAAACTTATCCTTTAATGCTATCCACATGGCCTGTGCGGTTTTGTGCGACTCAAACTCACACATCAGGTCATCAGCCATGGAGCTCAAAAGCGTGATTCTTGCTATGCTATTCTTCTTTTTCTAGGTTAGATATGCCTCTTGGTCTCTCCTGTGCTGGTTTGTGTTGCCAGCCTCAGGTTCAACCATAGCAGTGGTGAGAGGCTCTATCACATCCTGTTCCTCTAGGATATACTGGACCTTTCGGTGCCAGATGTCCCAGTTGTCCCCGTTAAGCTTTTCTCCCTTGTTCAATTCAGCAATTATGTTCTTGGTTACCATTCTTAATTCTGTGACAAATCTATCCCACATTAATCTATGTTCTCTTAAAAGAGAACCGAACCAAAGAACATTTCAGTTATATAGCACAATGAAGTATACAATCTAATGTGCCTATATTATCCTCGATCAGTAAATAATGAAATTACTAGATCTATGATCAGGAGAATACGTTTGTACCTCCCATCACACAGATACTAGCAATAATCATCATGTCCTATCAAGGATTTTATATAAGCACTTCAAAGATTATAACCTTTAGAAGTCTCATTTTCTAAAAGCTCCCACTTATAAAAGGCATACATATGATATTCATAAATAATCATACAACAATAATTCAAGTAATTTCATTAAATGAAATAACATACTTAGTCTGTTTACAATGCATGAAACCACAAACTTAAGACGAATACAAATATTACATCATTTGATATGAACATAAAGGTAATCAAGCATTGCTTTTCTTAGGCTTCTAAGTTTGCGCGTTTTGTTCATAAAGGAGGACACTAGCTCTATGGCCCAAATCCAGTAAGACTTTCTTATGGGTTTGCCTTTAGGTCCGCCTCTAACTCTTATTGCTCTTATGTACTCCATTATGACTCTAAGGTAGAATTCAGTATTCTTCTTATCCGTCATGTAATGGATGTAGCTAGTGAGCACACCATTGATGCCTTTTATGTTTGTCAATTTAGCTGCATCTCTTTCAGCTATTCTCATAGCTAAAGCAGGGGTACATGGTTGATCCACCTCTTCGCCTTCCTCTACTTCGGTTTTATTGGGAAGATCTAGTGAATCATTACAGACCAAATGAGGTTCGGTACGGAGGGGGTCAGTAGGAAATAAAGATTCTGACTCAGGTCCAAAATCCATTAACTCCTCCGGGATTTCTTGAGGAACCTCTTCAGGGTCCTCTTCAGGATCCTCATCCTCTGGTTCATGTTCTGGAATTGCATTATCCATGTATAAGTATTCCAATGAACCATCTTGGATATTTTCAGTGCTACTAGAAGCCTCTTGCTTCATTTTCACCTAGAACAAAATAATTTAAATTATTTTGAATATTCTGGAATTTATTTCCGCATGAAAAATACCAGAAAATACACTGAAAATACTCACAAATAGATCCTTAATTATCTCCAAAATTATCAAATTACATATCAAAATGAAGATCTTGATTTTAGGGATTTTTAGAGACAAACCTCACCTCAAACGGACCTTCCACGCGCCTACACGCGCCCCGAGAAGAAAATAATTAGCGAAAAATTGAAAAAAAATTTCGCCCACTTGCCCCGTCGGCGCGTGTACTTCATGCTCCCCCATGCAGCCTGCCGCCGGCTACACGCGCTATGCCTGCGGCTTCCACGCGCCACCACCTGTCAGGTGGTGGTCCCCACATGCCAAGGTGGGGTGCCACGTGGCGGAACGCGCCACGTGGCATTGCTTGGTCAAAAAAAGTTTTTTTAAAAAAATTCTTTTTTTTTAGACAGACCTTTTTTTTTTTATTAAAAGTATTTGGACCGGTTGGGTTTGGGTCCATTTTGGCCCAACAGGTTCCCTTCACAAATTTTTTTTTTTTTATGATTTTGGTCTGGGCTGGATCTGCCTCCAGCCCAGTACACCCCTTCCCTTTTTTTTTTTTTAAAGGAGGGCCAAAACGACGCCGTTTTGGCCCTGGAGGTTATCTTCAACCTCCAGCCGGGTCGCCTTGACCCGGCTTCTACAACCGGTCGGGTTCGACGGACCCGTCGGACCCGATTTCTTCTCTCCTCCGTATCTCCACCGTTCGGTGTCCGTTTTTAGTGTACTTTGTATCATTTTCTTCAGTTTTTCGAGCTCTACGCAATGGGATAAATTTTGAAGCCTAAAAACTTGATTTTAAGCAACCCAAAAACGAACAAGGGTACGGCCAAAAAAATATACTGTATAAAACGATTTTCACAGAGGCAGAGAAGCAACCCAATATGTCTAAACATAAATATAAGACACAAAAACTATCATATTGGAAGTAAAATGGAGGATTTGCATAATATATGATAGCAAATCACTTTAGTTGTACTGGAGTCTAAACCGTAAAAACAAAGACGCATACGAACTCGGGCAGCGGAAGAAGAAAAGAAAAAAAATATAAACCTAAGCTCTGATACCAATGAAGGTTTTCAGGCATACCTGAAGTCTGCAATGAAGTCAGGTTGCCACGCGGAGGTCCGATCACAGTGACGGAGTCGGATCTGGGAGACACAGCAAATTACACCGGTGGGAAAGTTTTTGGAGAGACTGAGAGGAGAGTTTGATGGTGAAGAGGCGAAGGAAAAACGCAAGTCACATCCCCATAAACTGATCCCTATCTATCAGTTATGTAACTCTCAAAAACCGTCTCCTCTGCACAACCGTTCCCGCCTTTTGGCAAAATATATGAAAAGGCAAAAATTACAGTTAAAGACCCAAGAGTTTTGCTATTTACACTGGAATCCCAAATGATAAATGGGCTTGGGTCCAATCCACCAAGGGTGGACTGGCCCATTTTCTTACATTTTCTATTATGGTACTTATGCGTCATTCCGTCATGGATTCTTCCATACTAGTCATGCTTTATTCTGCCAACCAATCAAATACGCTCCTAATGTGAGTATGTTGGGCTTAACTTAATGCATAAACAAAAACTGGGCTGTAACATAAGCCCAATGTTACCTTCAACAGAATCTCCGCAGAAGCAAGAGTCCAATGAAAAAAATCAAAAAGTAAAACAAAACAAAACGGCCGAGTTTCCGATCGAAGTTTCAGGAATCGGCGAGCTTAGCAGTTATTATGGTTGTTCTGCAGATCATAATTACAACACCACGAAGCTGAGACTTTGAAGAAGTTCGGCTTTGATCCTTCTTGTTTGGTGCTGCGCAAGCTCCTCTGTCTTCCAAGTTCCAAGATCCTATCAACAATGACGACGACGGTGACCGCGTCGGCTACCCAAGCTTACGGTGAAACCTGGTACTGGGACAATCGCTATTCCAACGAACCTGGTCCTTTTGATTGGTACCAAAAGTATCAAACCTTAGCTCCCATCATGAATCTCTATGTCCCTCGCAAACACCGGATCCTTGTTGTCGGTTGCGGCAATTCAGGTTTGTATGCTTGTCTCAGATCTGGAAATGAGTTACGTAATGCCTCTCTTGTGATGTGGAAGGTTTACGTCTTGCTTACATGGATTTTCAATTTAGAAGAGATATCTTATGAAAGTTGAACATAGAAGGAAGGTTTTTGAAATTATGTTGTTTATCTCTTCTGGAAGAATGCACGTTCGTCTCTGCGAACAAATTTTTTTCTTTCTTTCTTTGTTCCTTTCTAAAACCAAAAAGAATGAGAACGAACGCCGAAGTGACCTTGTCAATTTGGTTTGTACTTTGAAAATGGCCAATTTAATTCTATTTCATATAGATCGAGCTACTACCAACACAAGAATCTAATTTTGTTTGCATTGTGAATTTACAGCATTTAGCGAAGGCATGGTTGATGATGGTTACGAAGATGTTGTCAACGTTGATATATCCTCTGTTGTGATTGAAGCTATGCAGAACAAATATCGGGATCGTTCCCAGTTGAAATGTATCCTTATTTTTTCCTGATCTGATTTTGGGTATTATCTGAAGTATGGGCTTAAACCTGTGCATACATTATAGAGTCACATAGGATTTTGTCATTAGATGGTTGTACTTTCTGGTGAATAAGCAACACTGACTTGTACTTTCTTTATCAACTAGTTAGATATGCAAATGGATGTCCGAAATATGAGTGCATTTGAATCAGATTCCTTTGGTACTGTAATTGACAAAGGTATGCTACCGTTTTCCCTCTTTTGCCCCTTTTGTCTTTTCGTATTGGACAATAAGCAACAAGCTGATGTTGTTTAACATTGTGTTTCAGGGACTCTTGATTCTCTTTTGGTGAGTATTGCATGTTGTACAACTTAAACTTTTGAGGAAAATTATTGCTCATGGCATACTTTTGCAGTGTGGAAGTAATTCGAGACAGAACGCCACCATGATGCTTGAAGAGGTTTGGAGGTATAATAAAACCATGAACAAATAAGTAGAATTCTTCAGAGATGTTTAATTTTACATTTTTCTATTCTTGATCTGTTCACCATTATTGAAGCAGTTGATGACACACTATAGGGTTCTCAAGGATAAAGGAGTTTATATCCTGGTAATTATACCACACTTTTTATTGTTTGTTTAACTTTCCATGATTAACTTGACTTACTTCAAACATGAAGATTAAATGTGTTTTGCATTCTGCTTGATCAGCCTTGACTGCTTGTAAATGCTGCAGGTAACCTATGGAGCTCCATTATATCGTCTACGTTTGCTCAGAGAGTCATGCTTATGGAATATAAAGCTCCATGTGATAGGTTGGTTCCTAACTGATGCTGCTATCTTTAGCTATGCTGAGCTTTATTTGCCTGTTATTGTATGACTGAGATATACTGTCCCTAGGCTTTTAGTTGAGCTTGATTTTACCTCTGTTGTTTGTATTTGCCTCTTGATTTTGGACATTCAATTCAATTGAAGGGCAAACGTAATTTGAATACGAGTATTTCAACAAGGTAGCTTCTTGTTATTGAGGGTTGGAACTATTGAACAATTTTTTGGTGGTTATATGCTGATATGATTGCCACTTGTCTGTTGGTTGTTCGCGTCCCCTTCCCCTTCAATAGCATCAATATAAAATAAAGTAGTTATGGGAAGCTGTTCTTTTTGTAAGTAATAAATAATGCAATCCTTTTTGGACTTTGTGCATTGCACAAGGCCCATTATAGTTCTATTCAAAGTCTCACATTTCTTCACAAGTCACTACCCTTTTACATAGCATGCATCTCGAATCTTCCCTTTCAGAGTTCAAAAATTAATTAAACCTGAAAACCCACTATTGTTGTATGTGCAGAGAAACTTGCGTCAGAAGAGAAGTCTAATGGTCCAGTCTGGGAGCTGACTACTCCTGTCCCACTCAATGATGATGGAAGCTCAGTGGAGCAAGCACTTGGAAAAAATCCGGATGTGCATTATATTTATGTTTGTGTTAAGGTAATTGATTCATGCTTATGCCTTGTATCTGGGGCAGTTTAAACATACCCTCATGTTCTGTGAAAAAGTACTCCACTCCAGTTTGTCTAACTTGACTAATGTCCATAACATAGTTAATTATTTTGAAATGATCCAGTTAACCTTTACTAATTCATCCGTTTTAGAACCCTCTTTACTTTCATAAACTAGTCTGTCTTCAATCCTATCGTTATTATTCTAACCCTTCTCTAGATGGAACTAGACATATCTGATCTAAATGGTAATGCTAATACCTTGATCCCAGATGCCTAGAAAGCCAAATTCTCTTTCTTTGTTTCTTACTTCAGTGAATAGGGGTGAAGGCACAATGGCATCGTGTGATTCATGTAGTCGATATCACCTAGTGGGATAAGGCTTATTGTTGTTGTTTCTTACTTCAGTGAGTTTGATCATATTCTAAGTTGAATAGGGGTGAACCATCCATATATCTTAATTTACTCATATTCTGAAGATCAATATAATCAGTTGAGTCACCTAGTTCTTCAATATTTTCTATTTATCGAACACCATGCACTTCCGTCCTTCCTTCTAATTTCCTTCTCTCCCTCTAGACCATCGTCTACTGTTAGTAACATATCGTAAATGCTCCGTTAGCAAAATAAAGTTGCTATTGTAAATCAGTCAACTGATAAGGAGTGTACATGATAGGAAAATGGGGTTAAATGTCATTCCAGTTGATTCTGCCTCACCCTTTGATTAGTAGCACGTTTCATAATGCATTTTTGAGTTAATTTTCTCTTTTTACTGTTCATAAATCTTTAGTAACTTTCCGCAGGCTTGCCTACTTATTATTTATTATTTGTTTTATTTTAAGTAAAAGTATACTTTTAATTCTTTAACTTAATACAATATTTCAATACAGTCCTTTAATCCTAAAATCATTAACAAAAATGGTGACATTAACATCTTAAATATTAACAAGATATTCTCAAATATTGATATATTAAGTTTAATTTTTAAAACAACTATAACTGTTACAAGAAATATGATTTAAGACTAATAATTTTAGGGTTAAAAGACTAAAAATATATTTTTAAAGTTAAAGGCCTAAATTAAAATTTTGTATAAAGTTAAAAAATTAAATGTATGCTTTTGTCTTTTAATCTTCTATATTTTTGCCCTATTCGGAAATTTGGACATTTGTGTTTATTGCTGTTCGTCGTCCAGGATGAATCTTTGAAGTCAAGCTCCAAAGAATGAACAAGCAGATCAGTGGGGGAAGACATGCATTTTAGTTCTTCAAATTTGTTCTATGATAAGTACTTTTTTTTTTCCTTCTGTTCCAACTTTGAATTTGAGAGGTAGAATATGAAGTCTACGAGTTTCAATTTCTGTATGATGAATGCCCCCCAGCCCTGTGAATCTGTGATGTTACACGACTTTTCCGCATGGTTCCTGTAAATTGGACCGTTTAAATTATAATTGTGATAAATTTATTTTTTTTTCCTCGCTGAGTTAGAAAATTTTATAGTCCCAAGTCTGTGAAGGAAAGTACTCTATTGTACACCAATTGATTTTGAACACTCAATTTTACGGACAACTCCCGGTACTCTAGACCCATCTGAAGGATCCCATGGCGTGTGGATCATATCATTCTCTTAATGCCCGTCCTGGCAAAAGATTTTTTACTGACAGCAACGGTCTCACTTTCGACTCTGTTGTTGGGCATAGTCAAGCACGGCTTTGTAAGAACCGTCTTCGTGAGCTTTCTTATTCCTAAAGAAATATATGCCATAATAGGACCAAGCAAAGTTGAATTTTCACATGGATCGGATTAGTAGATAAAGTTCATTGCAGCCAGTCATTAAACTTCACAGAATTTGATTGTGGGGTCCTCATACTCAAATTTGAACCAAACGAGATAGCTCGCTGCTGGGGGGCAGTGAAGAAACAGATAACATGCAGGCCTTGTTTGTTTTTATTTTTAAGAATAGTTTTATGAAATTATTTTTTAAAGCCAATTTTGAAAAGAAAAGATAAAAAATTATTGTTTGGATAATTGTTCTAAAACATTGCATTTGAAGGGAAAAAAATTTGAAAACTTGTTAAAAGCAGTTGTTCTTAAATTAAAACTGATAAAAAGTGAGAGACCAAGTGGAGAGTGCAACGACAATGGAAGAGAAGTCAAGAAATGATATGGTTAAACATAGAAGACAAAGTGCAAGCATGGCCAAAAAGAAAATTAGGAAATAACAAAACAAAAAATATAAACAATTAAACATGTAAAAGTCGTTTTGAAAAGTCGTTTTGAGTGTTTTGTTTTTAAAAACATATATTTTTTTAATAAAACACTTAACTAAAAATATTTTCCTTTTTAATTTTTTTATCTTGTACGAGTTTTTTTTTAAAACTAAATATAGATATTTTCATATTAGAAGTAATCATGTTTGAGATATTATCGAGCACAAAATTTGAGCACATGTTCTGATATAGATTTGAATTTAGTTCGTTACGTTGTGAGGGATTGACATCTTCTATTAAGGCTCTGTTTGGGTGCTGAAACCATGGTTTCAGGCACTTTTCCGCAAAACGAGGTAACCTCCTCCACATATTACTTCGTAATCTGTAAAAGCACTTCTGAAACCATTGGTTTTTATCCAAACACTCCCTAAATCTAAATCTCATTGGTTACCAATGGGGATCGAATCTAGCAGAAGAGACTAATCTCTCATAATGTGGCAATTCAAGGTTTGAATTTTCATTGCAAGAAGTGCTTATATTTAGTATCTGACAGTGCCTCAAATAGGATTACCAGGATACCTATGCTTTGGGGGGGGAATCTCATTGGTTATGTGAGTTGTTTGGATTGTCTTCTTTTTTTTTTTTTTTTGGGATGCTAAAAGAAACCTCCTCAGCGTACTACATGTTTACGTATATCAAGATCGCACTCCCAAGTTCAGAACGGCAGCCAAATCTAATGGCGGTGCAGAAAGAAAATGATAACCTCCTACTGCCTCAAGACCTTTCTTGGCTAGGAAATCAGCGGCCTTGTTGCACTCCCGACTCACATGGCTGATTCTAACATTCCAATCTCGGTTAATAAGGGCACACACTTCCTTTAGAATATTATAATCAACATGTCTTTCATCTGGTTCCACGTTAAGCAGCTCAATAGCATTGCTTGCATGAGATTCTAGAATGCCTTCATATTGCCTCCTCATCGCTGATCGGGCTTGCTTATTTGATGGGCAAACATATGGTGTGAGCCCAACTTGTTGGATCGCCTTTTCCTTTTCTATTGCAAGAGTTAAGCATTATGCTTTGTCCACATATTATATTAGCACGTTTATTATATAGAGAGACACTGAAAGAGGATGTCAATGAAAATGCTTCTATGTAAAAACATCCTTACTAAATACATTCTTCCTTTAATTCTAAGTAACTTAAACAACTAATTGTTTGAATATTTACAAATTAATTATCTTTCTTACATTTAGGATAGAAGTGAGCAATAAAATAAAACAAATATGTACCAAATATTACATAAATTACATAAACTGATTCTTTTAATTATCTCCCATTTTTTTCCTTCCATTTTGTATGAAACACATCCAATTGGGCTCCCTTCCTATGTGGAGAAAGACCCAATATCTGAAATCCATTTCAGTCTCACTTTTTTACTTTTGGTCACATGAGTTTCACTTATTAAAGTGAAGACGGAGCATAATAGGGTTAAGCACGAGGTCTCATTTTGAGGGAGAATAGTAGCCATTTGGGGAGATAAGAAGAGTGAAAGCTATTTTTGTATCTTGACAAGACAGTCCTAGTAAATCGATATTTACGCATTCGTTAACTATTGGATCGAGCTAAAATTTGGTTAGTAAGTTTGCAATGTTTTGGATCATCAATTTGGTGCCTGTTATGAGATATATTGAGTTCGCCCTCTCGGATTTGAATTTTTTTTTAGTTTATTAATTTTCTATTATAAGCTTATAGTTTTGGCTATTTGGTTGATTATTTGCATTTGTTTGTACGTCTGATTGAAACTCTCATGTACTTTACTTTGATCATGGTGGAATTGTGGTTTTCTTTGGTCTGGATGACGCATGGCTTTTACCTTTACATTGAGGGATTTTCTATGTTAATAATTTTGATGTCTTTTTTGCTATTTAATTTCTGTCATATATTTATCTTGTTTTCTTAGAAATTTTTGTAAAAGATGAAAAAAAAGAAAAATATTTCTGCTGCATATAACTCATAGGCTTGAGTTTTGTGTTTTTGTTGTTGCATTCTAAAACATCAAAATTTATATGTCTTTGATGTTGTTACGCACCCTAATGATTATGCATTTGATAAATGAACTTCGCCCTTTTCTATTCTGGCCTAAATGCAAAGAATTTATACTTGACTTGGATGAATAATTTGGTTACCTTATGCGCACACTCATTAAAATTAGGTAGATTTAACATGCGTTGAAAACTTTGTCATCTTATAGTTAAAAGGACCAGGAAACTTTTTTTTTTTTTGGGTTTGCTTCACATTTGAAATAAGTATTTTTTATATCATTATTTTAAAAGAAAAAAGCAGAAGACTATGATTCCACGAAGACACGATGCCAACAAATTTGTGACATTTGATTTGAATATAATGATTTTTGTTGGAACCAAAATGTGAATGTTATGATTAAAGGATAGAGTAAGTTGAAAGGAAGTGGCCTACCTTTTTTGACAAAAACTACAATACATTAGGAGAATGACACTAAAGTCCCAATATACCTATTTAATTACGCTAAAGTCTCAAAAATTCTGAAATGATGTGATGGTATGATGATAAAAAGAATCGATGTAGTTGTAACTTGGCTAGTTATATCTTATAAAAAAGATCGAAGAGAATAATTTAGTAAATTGTAAAAATATCTTGCAAGAAAAAAAAAATAGCAGATCCTAAAGTGAACTCTTTATTTATAATTTCACATAATAAATACAATTATTGAATATAAAATAAAGACAACACTTCCATCAACATATTAAACATACTTTAGAAGTCCCTTCCAACTACCTCTTTGTAAGGAGTATTGTGGGATTGTGGACCAGAATTTCTTGGGATCTAATGAGGATAGAATTTTATTTCCTAGTTTTAAAAATACTTTCTCTGGTCTTAAATATAAACTTATTTTGTAGTATAAATTACATTACAAAATGGATCTTATATTAGATCTAAGGAGTAGAATATAAAATAATGATGAATCTAAATACTACCTCTAGTCTTAATTATAAAACCTTATTTGTAGATTATAAATAAGGTTTTATAATTAGGACCAAAAGTCTGACTGAAGGGCACTTTTGTCATTCCAAATTTACTAAATTAAAGGACCTTTGATCCTTTATTGATATTTTAGAATTATATGGTTCTTGCTTGTGATTAAAATGTGTGCATTGGGCTTAGGTGTCATTCAACAATATTTGTTAGGCAAATGGCAACCATACGTTCCTTTTACTCCAAAATTCCTTACCGACAATATCCCACTAATAGCCGTATTCTCATCACTATCGTAGTGGAGGCTTCCACTTTGGTATGTTTTATTCCAAAAAAAAAAAAACTGGAATAACAATTTTACTACAAGTTTTAAATGTATACTCCTTTATTTCTGTTTACAATTCATTTTCTTAAAATGTTTTATATTCTCATTAATGAGTCATTTTGTACAATATATGAAACAAGATGTTTGCGTAGAAATTATTATTATGGGGAGTTTTCTCACCTAGCATCCCCCCCCCCAAAATTTTCTTTCCGATTTAAGGATTCAAACTCTTCCGATGCATAAAAAAATTATTGCATTTAATTTGGGTATATGAGGTAATTTTAAAAATATCAACTAATCTTAATATACTTTTTATTGGCATCATCTCTACTAAAAATGACTTGTAAATCAGAACTAAAAAATATTTTAAATATTTCTATTTCATTTTTTTTTTTGGGCCAACTATTGAAACACAATTAATAATAAAGCTTTTTAACTAAAACCCTCAAACTTCTATTAAACTTAATGAACTTGTATGATTCACTGTTCAACATTATTACTGATATAAATACTTCTAAACTCTCAGTTGCCTTTAAACCACCAAGGTTTTCAACTTTCACATCACAAAAACAAAAACAAAACCAGAAAGCAAGAAGGCTCCAAACACAAAATGTCCCAAACCAGATTCCTTTTCTCCTTCTTCAAGACCTTCCTTTATCTGTCACTCGTTGTCCAGATCTGCCATGGCCTACCTCCTATGAACCTCAATTTGCTGAAGCAAAGTGAAGTATCTTCAGACATATTAATGGCGAAAAGGGTTTGCACAGGAAGCATTGAGGATTGCTTAAGCCTAAGAGACACAGAGAAGGCGATGATGGATTCTGAGAGCAATAGAAGAATTCTGGCAATGCAGAAAAAGTATATCAGTTATGGAACTCTCAGAAGAGACATGGTTCCTTGTGACAGACCTGGAGCTTCATATTATAACTGTCATGCTAGACC